AGATGAGGCCACTTTTAATTTTAAGAGGGGTTAAAAGTACCTGTGTTAGCATGTATGTTTATTCTAATACATGGATGAGGCTCTGCAGCTTATACAAGGTCCCCAAGGCAGGAACAGCCTGAATTCAATGGTCTCTTGAGTTGCAGGTCCAGACAGGCTACACTTTTGGACAGGGAGCCTGTAGGAGCTGCATGTGGTCAGCAAGCCAAGGACACAGACAAGATTCGGGGGCTGAGCAGAGTCCGAGGCCCAGGGCTGTAAGCCTGCTGCATTTACCCTTGAATCTTACTCTCAACAATGGCAACTTTTCCTTTCTATCCCATAATAAGGAGCATATCTATAGGTACTATTTATTGAGTTCTTTCAAACTGTGTTAAATATTTTACACACATCATCTCATCATCTTCACAGCACCCTTAGAAGGAAGGTATTACAGCACTTAACCTGCTTAGTCTTCCTAAAAACCGCTGTGAGGTAGATGCTATTCTTATTCCTGTTTTACAAATGAAGAAACTAAGGCACAAAGAAATTGAGTAATTTGCGAATGGCTAATAAGTGGCAGAGTGGCTCAGAGCCGTTGTTCTTGGCCACCATGCTACCTGTGCAGAAACTGTTGAAGTCATTGACTTAAAACCTTGTGGCCAGACCAAAATGCAAAGTGGAAACCATATTGGTGGTGCAAAATGGGGATTTAGAAAAGAGGTCCGGGGGCAAGATGCAGTTGCCTGTGAAGAATCATGGGACTTGGCTTTGTTTCTGACACATGAAGTAAATGGACAAGAGCTGTTCAATGAGAGACCCAACCACAAGAGTGAGCTTAACATTAAACATGACACGGGAGGAAATCTCTTGCCTTAGCGAGCCGGCCAGTGCAGATGTCATTGCAAGAAATGAGATAATCTGAACTTGAAGTGATTTCCAAGATCTGGAATCATGATCGAGAGGTGGAAAGAGCCCTGGGGGTAGTGAGTTAACTTAATTTCCCATTCTCTTTTCTTGGACTTTGGATGAGTCAGTCAGCCAGCCAAGCATGGATCAGTCCATGACATTCACTGAGTACCTTTTTTATGAAGTACTCTTTCTAGGGCAGTCAAGTCCCTCACTGTGAACATAGAATAAGTACTGTCTGTATTTAATGTTTGCAAGATTGGATTCTCAAGAAGGAAAGTATTCTATACATTCCATACACTATCAAATAATAGGTAAAACAATTTGAAGGACAAAAGTCACTACTCCCAAATTCTACACTAGAGTTTTATAAGAAATTGGACCTGTCATACTAAAGAATTCAATTCATTTAGGGGCAATTGCTGCATTATGGTCAGTCTCACCCAACTGGTCACAGCCTCCTGGGACTATTTCTGAGCCATAATACTAAAGTGGAGACTCTCCCTTATGTTTGTGAATCCGTATGATTCTATCCAGGGCTCCTACCCGTCCCTAAGACCTAATCCACCTAGCAAGAAAGTAAAGGGAACACCAGGTGAGCATACATATTTACATAAGCTACAGGGCTGGGTAAACATCCTCTGAACTGGTTAAAGGGCACTTTATACATGGCTCTTACTTCCTACCACTTTTAATGGGCTTCACACATCTAAAATCTCTTCCATATTTTTTAAAATTTCTTATCCTCATTCTCTTTAATGCTTTCCACCAGTGTTTTTTGCTTTGTATGACACAGTAAGGTCTTGTTTATTCCTACATCCTTTTTATCACTAAGTGTAATAGGTTCTAAAATAATTTGTGTAGGTTTTTAAATAATGAATGTCAATATTTCCTAGTATCCATAAACTGCCAATTAGCTAAGAATTTCTATTATTTCCATGAAGGGATTCAAATGGGTTCTCTTTTGAAATGCACATTGTGAATGTATTTTTCTTTCACTTCCATGTATTCCACCTTAGATATGATAAATTGCAATGCTTTTTAGGCCACACAAGCTTTTGTACTTATTGTGTACAGAATAGTGAAAAGTAGACTCAACCATTGGTTAGAAATTGAATTTCAGTAAGGGAGAAAAACATGTTCATTATTTAGCAAGTAAACAAAGAACATGTTCTCATTATACACTTTAAAAATGCAGTGTTAGTTTCAAAACAAGCAGATAAGCCAAGAAAAAAAAAACCTAGAAAATGCTAAACATTAAAAGCCAGTAGTATTTCTCCTTCTTGAGAATGTTGTTTCTTAATGATAGTTACCAATTTTGACTTTTTTAAAAGGCTTAGAACATCAGAAAGGTAAAGAAAATTGAGTTGTTGCCAATAATCCACTACAAATAATTGACTTAACTACACTTCAATATAACTGAAGGTCACTGACTATTTTTTTCTTTGTTCCTAGTTTTCAAATATTGGATGGTTGATGTTGACCTTTAGCTTGTCGTGTTCTCTATGCCAGCGCCAAGAACAATTCATTGGTATTATTTATTTAACCAACTTCACCATTAAAGCTGCTGTAGAGGATCCAGGATGGAACTAAGGTAGGGTTGCAGGTCTGCACAAACAATAAAATTAAATCTTGTACAGAAATGACCGTATGGGTTTTCCCAGCCTTCATGTAAGTAAATAAAAGACTACATTATTCCCACTTCATAGGTAAGAAAACCGAAGGAATCCAGAAACAAGTATTTTCAACATTTACCGAGTATCTATAACAGGAAAGGCACAGCATTTAGTTTCGGAACATGCATATCAATCAGCTAAAGTCAGTAACATCCTCCAGGCAGTCACAATCTAGTGACCATGGCTGACTATAAAAACAATAAAGACACAGAATACAATGGAAGAACAGGTGAGAGGACCACTTCTAATGACTGAAAGGTTTTGTGGAGATGGAATCTGAGCCAAGACTTAATGGATATCGACTGTTCTACAGACATAGACGGTGGGATGGCAGAGGAGACAATAAAAGCAAAGGCATAGAAAGGATATAACATGAGAATCTGTTATTTGTCACACAAGATTTGAGGGCAGGGCAGGGCTAAAGGCCGAAAAGAGGTAAAAGAGGCTCAGACCGAGCAGAAGCAGTGGAAAGAAAGGTAGTGATAGCAGCAATGGAATCTAGATAATCTGGCAACGGATTGCATGTGGACCATGGAGGGGGAGGACAAGTTGAAGTTGATTCTGACACGTTTGGACATATTGCTATGCCTGGACTAGAGAGAAGGGGATTTTTATTAGGGAGGTTTCAGAAATATGGGTCTAGAGATCAGGACAGATGTTGATCTAGAAATCAATCACAGGGATATGGCAGTGGAATTCATGTGTGTGGAGGAAAATCACCAAGCAATAGAAAACAAATGAAAAAAAAAAACAACAACCTTAAAATGCAAAGAACACCTGCATTTTATTATTTATTTATTTATTTTTAAAATTTTGATATTGTTAATGTACAATTACTTGAACATTATGGTTACTAGACTCCTCTTATTATCAAGTCACCCCTGCATACCCCATTACAGTCACTGTCTTATCAGCATAGTAAAATGCTATAGAATCACTACTTGTCTTCTCTGTATATACTGCCTTTCCTGTGTTTCCCCCACCCCCCACTACATTATGTGTGCTAATCTTAATGCCCCTTTTCCCCCCTTATCCCTCCCTTTCCACCCATCCTCCCCAGTTCCTTTCCCTTTGGTAACTGTTAGTCCATTCTTGGGTTTTGTGAGTCTGCTGCTGTTTTGCTCCTTCAGTTTTTGCTTTGTTCTTATACTCCACAGATGAGTGAAATCACTTGTTACTTTTCTTTCTCCACCTGGCTTATTTCACTGAGCATAACACCCTCTAGCTCCATCCATGTTAGAACACCTGCATTTTTAAGAAAAAGTAGAGAGGGGGAGAAAAGGAAGTCATTGGTCACCTAAATGGTTGGTCTGAGAGAAAAGTGGATACTGTCAACTGATAGAAATCAAGGAAAAAAAGTTTCCAGAAGGAGAGGTGAATGCTGCTGAGGATGGAGTTTGCGATTTCCTGTGATCGTAAAGGTCACATCCAAGCTTGGAAACTCCACAAGAAAAACAGTGTGGTTTTTTTAAGAGGAACCTACAACTTTCACCAATGGTTAGCCAGGGACTCAGTTATCAAAATAAATTGCAAGTTCCAATCTCCTTTATTAAACTTTCTTTGCAACTCACACTACTCTCCTTACACTTGAGCTCTTCAGATAACTATTATTAATCAAGAACAAAGCCTCATGTGCCCTCCTTCATCCTGTGGGATTGATCAGTGGTTATATGCAACAGCTTCTGAGTCACAGGGGCTGTTAGGAATCTAATCCAGCAGGGAAGAGGGTTTGTTACCTAACTTCTCTGGCCTCTCTTGCCTCGTTAGCAAAGTGGGGATGGTGGTACTTAACCTACGACAGTTGAGAAGCCTGCAGGAGAGAATGCAAGTGAAACCCCCAGCACTTTGCCGTCAAAGGCTCAATCAATTTTTGCTGTTACTGTTTTGCAATCTCCCTGAAGGCGGAGGTCTACTCCAATACTATTCCCTAAGGCGTGTAGCACCGACCTGGGTATTTGTGAGCCTCACTTTGCCAGCTCTCGGGGAAATGGCATTTGCAGGAAGAGGGATAAACAGCTGACAGGTCCCCGGGGAGTCGGAGGGAGGGCTGGCTGCTGGGCAACCGGGTCAGCAGGACCTCAGGCGCCCCTTCCTCCCACCCCACCCCGGGGGACCACACATCCCAGGGTGCAGCGCGCCCACCCAGGGTGAAAGTTGGGCCCGGCTGATCGGATTGCGGGACCTCCCGGAGGAAGCAGTGCACGCCGGGACTGGTAGTCTTCAGGTCTCAAGTTCACGGGTTGGAGAAGGGCCGGGGAGAGAGCGGTACCGCCCTAGTCCCGCCTTTTGTCCACGACTCACTTCTCCCGGCCAATGCCCTCTCCGGTGCCCGGAGCCTGCGCCTCTCCGATCCCCATTGGTCGTGAGCCTCAGCGCCGTGGTCCCTACCCGGAAAGAGCGTTGGAGGAGGAGGTTTCCTAGACTACGACACCGGAAAACGGGGGGAGACGCCCGGCTGCCGAGGGCTGAGGGCGGTGGCAGCGCTGGCGCTGGGGACCGGCTCGGTGGCTTCAGGAAACAGTTCGGCGACGGCGGCCACTCGCGTTAGTTCGCATCCCGTCCTCGGCACGGCTCGCAGCCTGCTTGCCTCCGCCGTCCGGCTATGTGTCCCACTGGCCGGGCGTAGCAGCTGCGCGTGCGCGGAACCGTGGGGCCATGAGCGAAGCCGGCGGCTGCCGGGGCTGTGCGTCCCCGGTCCCCCAGCGAGCGCCATGGAGCCTGGTTGCGGCCACGGCCGCGCTCTGCCTGGTGTCAGCCACGTCCGTGTGGACGGCGGGGGCCGCGCCCATGAGTCGGGAAGAGAAACAGAAGCTTGGGTAAGGGTGCTTGGCAGCCGGGATGGCTTCCTCGTGAGGCGGACCTCCGGCGTGGTGCCTGTCATTGCGACCTGGGCGCGCAGGGGCCTCTCCTGTCAGGATTGGGACGGCTGTTGCCTCGCGAGGACCCTGGAGGGGTGAACAGGGTCCGGGAGGGTGGGGGCCGCCGCCCGCGATGCGACCTCGGGGGCTGTCGGGGTGCCGCGCAGGACGTGTGTGACACGTGCAAGCTCCTTCCTTGAGGCCAGCCGCGGTGTGTCAGCTCGGCTCCCATGTCAGTGGCCCGTGAAGGGGGCTGCCGTCCGCGTCTCTGGGTGCGAGGGTCCTGCGGTTGTCTTTCGTTGGTGATACAGGTTTCTCGCACGAGTAAGCTCCCAGCTGGGAAAATGTTGCTGATCTCACAGTAGTTAAGGAAATAGTGTTTACACCTGTTACGGAAAAGGGGGCGTTCATTGGAACTTGAACTTTACACGTTTTACCATTTCCTTGCAGTGTTTTCTTGCATTGCTTTTCATAATAGTGCAAGAAAAGCCCCAATTAAGTATGTACCAATTCACTTTGCTAAGAGTACTTTTATCAGTGTCGAAAGTGTCATAAAATTAGTTATATTCACAGCATTTAATTCAGAGTCAATATTTCTAATATATGCTAGGTCCCCCAAAAGAATAGGAAAAAAGCCAAGAACCAATAGAAATGGGCAATGGGCAAGAAGAGTTAATTCACCAAAGAGTAAATGCAAATGGCCAATAAACATGAAAAGTTGACCTCATAAGTGTGAGATTCAGATTAAAACAATGAACTAGTTGGCTTTTGTCATCAGATTTATATTTATAAAACACATGGATAACGTGATGGATAGTTGAGGTGTGAGAATAAATTTAGTGTGAATGTAAATTACTGTAATTTACAGTATATCCTAAAATTTAAATAGGATATACTCTTTGATTCATTAATCCCGTCTCGGAATCCTACAGAAATAAAAGCACTATTAATGTCGAGGTAGGTATACAAGATGTGCCTTTTGAAAGAATGGAATTGTTACTTGGAGCATCTATATTGTGGAATAATATTCAGACATTGAGGAGGAAGTAGATCATTGGAAGGCTATCCAGAATATATTCCCCAGACACAAAAAAATGCAAGTTGTAGAATAATATGTATAGTATTATCCATGTTTTTTTAAAGACAGAAAAGAAATTGTCTAAGCTCAAGATTATATGGAAAGATGATTACCTGGGATTAGGATGGAGCTGAGGTGGAACCATCAGGTTTATTTTATATACTCCCTTATTTAAATTTTTTGCAAAAGTGTTGTATTAGTTTTTTTGTATATCATTAAAAAGCTGATGGAAAAAAGATAAAGTATCATCTATCAAAACAAAATTACCAGTAAACTCTAGGAAGTATCTTAAGTTTTCTCTCTAGGGATTTAATGTATCAGTGATAACTCTTTTACTCTGTGCCAGGCATTTTAAATATACTGTAATCCTCCCTATTTCTTACTGAGGTGGATGTTGATCTGCATTTTGTAAATGAGAAGACTGAGACTCAAGGATGACTTCTTCAAAGCCACAGAGCTAGTAAATGGTGAAGCCACTATTCAAACCCACGTCTATATGACTTCAGAACCCATGTTCTCTCCACTATGCTGCACTTTCATAAGACTTGGTTTCTGAGACTGTTAAGTCTGTTAAGGATACCAAGTATCTAATTTGACCACTATTTCTCTTTCTCCCTTGCTATTTAAAAGTATTATTTGAAGAAAAGTCATTGTGTAACTCATTTTTGACCAAAATTAATTTTTATCTGGAAAAGTCCAACCAAATTGGCTTGTGATTTAAGCTCAACTTTTGAGATCACTTAGATGAAATTACAGTTTATTAGGCTTTAGATTACTTTGCTGTACAATAAAAGTAGAATAAGAGTCTAGACCTATAATCCACACACAGTTGCCTGACTGCTTTCCCCTCTGGGAATTTTTAGGAAAGTAAACCCGATTTGTGATGTTTACCCGCACAGATGTTTAAAAGCCCAAATAATGATTTGTGATAAACATAAAATGCCCCAAACAAACTAATAAGAAGACTGGAATTGTCACAAATAGTAAGCAAATGCTCACGTGATTGCAGTTTGTAGTTTATGGGATTATCTACCTGGTTATATGTAGTCTTATCCTCCCTAGAATATGTTGGGTTTTTTGTTTTAAATGTTAAAGCAGATGTTACTGTTATTTTTTAATTTAAAAAAATGAAGTATAAAACAATCCAGTTTCTGTAGCATGATATAGGCCTGTAACATTAGAAAAAACTTAACAAATTATCTTTAAAAAGTGACATAACTTTTGAACTGTGGATCTGAATTCCAATACATTTTATCCAGTTGTTAAATAGATATAAAACCCAATAGAAACATTTTTCCTGTTCAATCTAATAATCATTCTACCACGCTCTATTTGAATATGACTTTGTTAGGACTTAGATGATTGAAGTGAGAACGAGAGGCACTCAACTGGATATTAAATATCTCAGTTTTAGATCATATGCTGCAGAAATGTAAGGATTGGAAAATAATGTGTCCTCATATGCAATCATGTCCTATGCAATAATCTTTAAAACTGAATGCTTGCAAACATGGGTCAAAAGTTAAGCTTATGTTATCTGTAGTACACACATCTGTAGTATACTACAATTACCAGTTACATGAATTTCTACTTCTTGGCAATAATCTTGTACTAATTGCATTTCAGGGGAAGGGAAAAGAAGAATTTCAATATTACATTTCTTAATATCAATGCTTGAAAGAGAAATTTTCCCTCTTTTTTTATTAGCTAATTTGAGAGACCTTTTTCATCTGCAATATAATTAATGTCTAGGATTCCTTAAGATACCCGTACTTTCCTGAGATAACTTGATCCATATTCTATTCTACTTGTAAACCCTTAAAGAATTAATGTTTTAGCAAAGTGATAAGATCTTTTTTTTAATGTTTAAATGTTTTTAAATGATTATTATTCATAAAAAGTTGTTCAGACGTAATTTTTCTGTTCACAGGTTTAAGTGTACTTAATTACTTGATTTCGCTGGTCATTATAGGCCAGGATCTGGAAGTTAGTCCTTTTCTGTCTGCCAGCTTTATTATTGCCAGTATTTAATCATCCATGATTACAATTTTGTAAATGATAATTGCAATATAACATGAGATAAAATAAAAATGTATGCAGCCATTTTCTTTAACACTATCGTCAATTCTTGCCATAAGTGATTGTAACTTTGGGAACAATAGTAAGAGTTAATAAAAGATTATTAAACTATTTTTCCTTTGCTAATTATTGAGAGATTTGGCCTTGTCTTAAGTTTTTCCAATAGCCCCTATGCTTAACTGAAAGACTGATTGATTCCTTTGTCCTAACCTTAGTACATCTGGTGTGGGAATCAGAAATCTCCATTTTTTAAAAATTTCTTTAACTTTTTAATTGAAATACAGTTGATATGCAATATTATATTGGTTTCAGATGTACAGCGTAGTGATTCAACAATTACGTACATTACTAAATGCTCATCATGATAAGTGTGGTTTCCATCTGTCAACATACAGAGACATCTCCATTTTAAAAGTCATACTGGGGATTTTGAGAAACAGGGTTAACCAAAACACACAGATCTCTTTTTTGATTAGTTTTCCCATTTTAGAGAAACAGTTTATTTAACTTTTGACAGTTTTTTAAAGAGGCAGAGAGTACATCATAAAATCATAAATTCTTTTGAAAATGTGACAAACTTCTATTAGTAATTGTGTATTAAACTAGTCATTAGTGATTTTATTCAGTTTAAGGGGGAAGGCAGAGGGTCGACAGAGTATTAGTTCATATCAGTACATGCACATATCCACCCCTCTCTTTTGGTAGAATATGTAGTATAAACAATAAATAGTGGAAATAATCACACATTTCTTTTTGGGCTCTCCAGCAATATTCCCCCTTTCAAGACAGCTATTGTTAAATAATTTTGTTAAGAGGTAATTATTTTTCAGCATCAGGTTTTCTTCTGTCTGCATGGCATGCATCATTCATCCATTTTCTTAGAAAAAATTAGAAGATGAATTTTACATAAATTGCTGGAAATATCGAAAGTTTGCCCCAGCTCTGTGTGATTCATGCAAGCTTGTCTCCTAACACTGGGGTGTGTTTACTGACTGTGTTAATGTCCCCTTCTAACTAAATGTTTCTTTTTTTTTTTATTGGTATATGTTTATGAAGGAGCATTAACTTTTTGATAGATAATAAATAGAATATACTAAATTTTTTTCCATTTCTGCTTTTTTAAAATTAGGATTCAAGTACTGGAAATGTTTGATCATGCTTATGGTAACTATATGGTAAGTAGAAAGCTTATCTTTACATACCGTTTATGTGAGCTGATTATTATGTGAGCACAGTCAACTGGAAGTTTTGAAACCTGAGTTAATAACACATTTTTTTAAAAGGAAGTTTTTAAACAAAACAGTGCAAACAGAGTATTCCTGGTATTGGTTCTTAGGGAACCAATGTATTGAATAGTAAGAATGAATTGAATTAGATTATGAAACCTTATTTTTGAACATGGTATCAACATGTTCATTGAGTGCCTTATATAGCTAGGTATTGTAGATGAATAAGATGTTATCTCTGGCCTTAAAGGAAATTATTCTCAATTTAAAAAAACCTATTTACGGTATTACCCTCTATACTCTATAAAGAAAACCATTGCTTAAAAGAGATGAACTATCACCTAGTTTCTGTCCAAATTATGTCCTCATGGTGGGCTTTGATTTGCATATATTTTGCCTTCTAGTTATGCCTATCTGTATTGTTTTAGTGTTCACTTGAGATGAAAAAGCAGTTTCAGTTTTGCAAGATGAAAAGGTCAGAATGGTGAATATACTTGTTCCTGCTGAACTTACTTATAAAAATGGTAAATTTTCTGTTACGTGATACTTACCACAATAAAAAATTTTATCCCTCTATAGCATGAGAGGAGCTCTTTAGGGGGCAGGAGGTCAGGCCAGGGGTGATGGTGTCTTTTCCCCAAGCTGGAGCTGCAAGGGGCTGTAGCTGCCCCGCACCCACCTTTCCCTGCTGTGTCCCTCAGTAAAATGATCTTAAACTTCTTAACCTTTTTTTGATTTCTAAAAAGGTAAAATCACATTTTTGAGTTCAAAATAAAATGTTACATGTAAATTTTTATGATTTTGAAAAAGTTAAATTATTCTGAGAATTCCGATGACCTTGTTTACATTTTAAAATATGTCAGCAGATTTTCTTTTATGATTAAGGCCTATAAAATGTAGTTGGAAAAAGTTTGGCAGAGAACTAACTTTGATTCTGTTTAAAATTTTTTTTTAACGTATTCTGTGAATCCATTTTTCATTGCACAGTTGACCCTTGAACAGTGTGGTGGTTGGGGAACCAACCCCCCATGTAGTTGAAAATGTACACTTAACTTTTGATCCCCCAAAACTTAACTACTAATAGCCTTCTGTTGACTGGAAGCCTTACAGATGGCAGTTAATTAACACATATTTTGTATGTTATGCATATGTCATATTATACTGTTCTTTTAGAATAAAGTAAGCTAGAGAAAAGAATGTTTTTTCAAATTGTCACAAATCTAAAAAATTTTCCAGTATATTTATTGTAAAAAGTCCCTATATAAGTGGACTTGCACAAGTTCAAACCTGCGTTGTTCAATGGTCAACTGTATGTTACCTAGATATCTTTATATATTAACACTATCTTTATGAACATCTAAGTACATATTCTTTATGCATTCTTATATTTTTTTAAATGTTTTATATTTGATAATCTTTGTTCCCTTTTATATTGTACTTTTTTTAAGAGTATGTATTGAATTCTTAATAAATGTTTTCAGAATATGATAGCAACAAAGTTTTGGGTATTTTTAAATCATATTGAAAACACAGTTTTAAATATATTTTTCAAGACTGCAGCCATTCCCTTACACTTCTTTCAAAGTCATTTATCCCTGGGTAATTCAGTGTGGGCAAAGCATAGTTTAACAAACATAAGCTGATAGTTTTGGTGTTGCCAAATGGATCCCTGCTGTACCCTCAAATTTTAAGCCATTTCATAAATGCCTACTTTTGGTTCCACAGTTGAATAAATGATATATAGTTAGATTAGTTCAGTACCACTCACTGTGAATAGGGTCCTCTCTTCCTAAAGCACAGTATTTTTAATATCTTGTCCCTATTAGGTTAACAGCACGAAGTTATATCAATACACTTTTTTCCTACTGTAGAATGCACTTAATAAATTTGTGACAGAGCAGGTATGGAAGGGCAGCCCTCAGAGGACCCCCTGGTCCAATTCCTATTTATTGGGCCCTAGTTGGGTAACTTCGTTATGCTTATGTACAAGATCTAAAGAAAAGGGATTTCATCTCCAAAGACTGGGAACTCCTAAAACTAACACCTCCTCCATTTCTCCAATGGATCCACACTCATCTGACAGTCTCTTGCAATATATACTTTCAAAATGTTCAATGTACAACTGTTTTACAGCGTAAGTGACTCTTGCAGTGTACCTGTGCCATGCTCAATTTGTGTGAGGTTAGTCTAAAATACATACTTCCTCTTTTCAGGTAGTCAACTAACATGAAGCAGTTCTAAAACATTAAAGAGAGAGCAAGTGTGCTGTATTTGTTATTTGCAGTCAGTTGAAAATTTTTTTAGTTCCTATACTCAGAAACACTATAAGCTTGCTGAATTAAAAGTATATGGGCTTTGGAGTTAGATGGGTTTGAATTCAAATCCTCTCAGCTATTTAATGACTTGGACCTTAAATGGATCATTTAACCTCTTTGAACAGTGTCTTCCTATGTAAAATGGGGATAATTGCAAAGTGTTGTTATAGACTGTAACGCTTTGGAGAATAGGGACCATTTTCCTTAATTTTTAATGAATTCATCTTTTATATATCCCATACCTAGCATCATGCCTCACACATAAATACTTTTGCAATGTTTTTTTTGAAAGAATTGAATTGAATTCTTGTGAAAATATAATCAAGTAGTGTTAATTACTTGCATTTGATTATTGTGATTCATCTTTGCCTTTTAAAGTCACATAAATAATTTAATGAACTTCATTAAAAATGTAGGTTTATACTGAATTTGGGGATCTGTAACTGCTTTGTTGTAGCCAGTTGCCTACTGTGCTAAAATGTAAAATTCATGGCACATGGTGGGCTTTTAATAAATGTTGGAGAGCTTTTCATGTCTCACTAGTTCTATTTGCTGTTGCTCTTCAGGCTAGTCTAAAACGAGAGCAATTCCTTTTAAATTTCTTGGTTCTCTGGAAAACGATGGTATTATCCAAACAAGGCAATATAATATGATTAAGAGCAGGGACTCTGGCAATGGAGCAGGATACCCTGAGGCAGTTTTGCCACCTGTCAGCTGGGTTACATTGGGAAAGTTACCTAATCTCCCTGAGCCTATGTCCTCATCTCTCTAAAATGGTTTGCCTGCCTCATAGCGTTGTAAGGATTAAACATGCTCATATAATTAAAGTGCTCAGAACTAGCGTCCAGCAAATAGGAAGCACTGTGTAACTGCTACAAACTGCTACTGCTGTCACCACTACTGTCGTTTTTCATTCTCTGCCTGAGATTCAAAGTGCCCTCTAAAATTCACCTAGGCATTAACGCAGAACTCGTTTCCCAGATTACAAGGGAAGTTCTTTAAAGCACACACATTCTTTCCTGTCTAGGCATGTGCCCTTTGAGCTTGTTTTTTTCCTTTCCTTCTTTTGATTTCCCAGGTTCTGTTAATGCTGTTTTTCAATAAGTGGGCCTTGCCAGTTTTAGGTAGATCACTACATCTCTGCCATCCCTGGTGGTTACTTTTTATGATTTTATCCATTATTGGCATAAATATTAACATTATAACAACTATGTTTAATGAATCTTTTGCCCAGAGTGCAGTTTATCTGCAGGGAGTTACACAGATGGTTTTCTCTTTTCTGCCAATAACGTGAAATTTGGTGTTTTGGCAGTTACTGTGTAATCTTATTTAACCCCATACTTTAGGGCTTCTATTAGCATGTTTTTAGTATTTGTGCAGATTAATTTATATGGCAAAATGACATGCATTTAGGACAGTAAATGAAAACCATTTTGGATGTGAGCTCTCTGATGTTTGTCTTCCAATGTCTTTCCTGGCTACAAACTGAAACTGTTATAAGCAAAACCTATACTTTGGTAGAGCCTTAAACATTACAAAAAAAACTTTAAAAGAACTGGTAGGCACAGTTTCCTTTCACTAGTAGAATCGTATGTCACAACCACCTTTGAGATAGATACATTGTGTGAGAGCACAGTTCAAAGAAAAGTAGATTATTCAATCATTCAAACCAAAGGAATTGTTAAAAAATGTAACCACTGTGGATTTCTAGATTTATATAAACTTTCTTAGAATTACTTGTTTTCCCTAATATTTCTTTCTTTAAACATTTTTTATTGTGGCTAAATATACATAACATAAAATTTACCAAATTTCACCATTTTTAAGCATACAGTTCTGTGGCATATACATTGTTGTTCAACCATCACATCTCCAGAACTTTTTCATATTTCCCATTTGAAACTCAGTTTGTCTATCAAATTCAGAAGTGGTACTAATGGCTAGGAGAAGGGAAGATAAAAATTTATATACATCTTTTTTGTATGTAGATGGTTCTGTGGCTACCTTTGGTTACTGATTATTCCTTGGCCTGTTTTTAGAACATCCTAAAATTTTGCCAGAATGGCATAAGAAATTCTGTAATATCATCTCATAAAGTTTTATCACACTCTTTTACTCTACATAGGGTTTTAACTCAGTAGGACCAGGTATCTTTGCTTAATCAGGTATAATTTCTAGAAAAAATTTCCAATTTTAAGTGCACGAATTTTGCAATTGTATACCTTTGTTTAACTACCAGCACAATCATGATACAGAACATTTCCATCACCCCAAAAAGCTTCCTTATGCTCCTTTGCAATTAGTTCCTTTTCCCTACCTCTGACTTATAGCCACTGTTGTGGTGCTTTTGTCACAATAGTTTTTCCTTTTCTAAGATTTCATATAAATGCCATCATACAATATGTAGTCTTCTGATTTGGGTTCATTCATTTAGCATGATGTTTTTGAGATTTATCCATGTTGGATATATTATAGTTCCTATTTATTGCTCAGTAGTATTCAATTGATTTGATTGAATACAGTTTATTTATTCACTGGTTGATAAATACTTGGCTTGTTTCTGGTCTTTGGCATTGTTTAAATAAGTGCTATAAACCTGTGAATGCAAGTTTTTATGTGGACATACATTTTGTG